AGTTTTTTGCATTTTTTAGTAGAGACGGGGTTTCACCGTGTTAGCCAGGATGGTCTCGATCTCCTGACCTCGTGATCCGCCCGTCTCGGCCTCCCAGAGTGCTGGGTTTACGGGCGTGAGCCACCGTGCCCGGCCTGCCATTTCTCTTTGGAAAGCTTCTGGTTGTCCCAAGAAAACAAATCTCTTAAGAAGTGATGGTCTTTGCTCTTTGGTTCTCACAGGTTGCAGAAGAAAACCCCAGCCAAGTCCCCAGGGAAGGCCACGTCTGTGAAGCAGAGAGGGTCCAAACCTACACCTAAAGTCTCAGCTGCCCAGCGGGGGAAAGCTAGGCCCTTGCCCAAGAAAGCCCCTCCTAAGGCCAAAACTCCTGCCAAGAAAGCCAGACCCTCACCCACAGTCATCAAGAAACCTAGTGGTGGCTCCTCAAAGAAGCCTGCAACCAGTGCAAGAAAGGAAGTAAAATTGCCGGGCAAGGGTAAATCCACCATGAAGAAGTCTTTCAGAGTGAAAAAGTAAATTTTATAGGAAAAAAGGGTATCATGATGAAATTCAAAATCTTATTTTCTAAGGTCAGTGTGCATTTGTTTAGTTTTGATGCTTTTCAAATTACATTATTTTCCTCCCCTGTGAACATTGTGGGGAGGGACTATAAATAAACCAGTGTAGGCATTTGCTAGCTTTAGGTGCTTTTCTTGGTGCCTGCCCTTTTCCTTGTTCATTTTAATTTCTGCAATAATCCTGGACTTTCCTCAACTATGTAATCTATACTTGTCCTTTTTTGCCCCCTCCCCCAACCCCTATTGTTTTTATGGTCAGCTTTGCCTTTTTTTTTTCCTTCCAATTTTATCTGAACAGTTGCAACGATTTTTATATTTGTAGAAAGCATCAAGAATGGTATGTCAGTCAGGTCCTGGAAGTAAAATGGAGGTGAAATATAGCACTGACTGAATTGTAAAGCCTCCTGCCTGGAAACTTCAGTGATAGCTGTAATAATTAATCTTATTTATAAAAGCCACTCCACTAACCTTTTCTCTCCAACTATAAACACAGAGACAGCTTTGGGAATAAGCCAAAAACAGTGTGATCTCATTAGATTTTGAAGATATATGACTTCTTTGGGTTAGTTTTCATATAGATCAATTTCCATGTATTTTTCACTGGCCCAAAGTATTGCATTCCCTTAACAGCAAGCACAAGTTCTCTATATCACTTGTTTTTGTTGTTGTTGTTGTTATCGTTATTTTAAGACAGAGTCTTGCTCACGTGCCCTGGAGTGCAGTGGCACAATCTTGGCTCACTGCAACCTCCGCCTCCTGGGTTCAAGCAATTCTCCTGCTTCAGCCTGCCAAGTAGCTGGGATTACAGGTGCGCACCACCACGCCTGGCAATTTATTTGTATTTTTAGTAGAAATGGGGTTTCACCGTGTTGGTCAGGCAGGTCTCGAACTCCTGACCTCAGGTGATCCACCTCCCAAAGTGCTGGGATTACAGGAGTGAGCCACCATGCCCGGCCTATCCCACTTGGTTTTTGACTGAAGGGGAAGTATAGAAATATGTTGATTTGTGATTTCTGGTGTCACCTGTGTTACCAAAAACCACCCAGGCTGGAATGCAGTGGCATGATTTTGGCTTACTGCAACCTCCGCCTCCCAGATTCAAGCAATTCTCCTGCCTTAGCCTCCCGAATTGGGACTACAGGCGCGTGCCACCACGCCCAGCTAATTTTTTGTATTTTTAGTAGAGATGGGGTTTTACCATGTTAGCCAGGATGGTCTCGATCACCTGACCTCATGATCTGCCCACCTCAGCCTCCCACAATCCTGGGATTACAGATGTGAGCCACTGCTCCCAGCCCAAATCTTCTTGATCATACGTTTAAATATATTTTTTAATATTGGGAGCATGAGTTGTCACTTCTTTGCCTTTTTTATAAGGAAATGTTGGAGAGTTACATCATTGCTAATGTAGAAATGTTAAGTGGAAAAATATACAGTTTGGTAAAATAGATTCCACATTTATTTGTGGGTTTTTTCCCCTCCTTTCTTTCCACAGCACTTTTGATATCAAGCAAGTGGCTTCCTTTTTGAGATATTAAAAAAAAAAGGAAGAAAAGTAAATGAAGCCCAACTACCTAACCCTTTCTTATTTGTATTTGTTTTAGTATTGTGAAGTTGTGTTAAATAGTACTAGCTAGAAATACCAATTTCTGGTTATCATTTCTCTTCCCTGTGGCACTTGACATTTTAATTGTCTTAAACTTTTTGAAGTACATCTTCTGGCCCCTTGAGTACTGCCAGAGGCAAAAGATGTTTGTTTCTTACTCATTCCACTTTTGTCTCCTGGGATCCCTTCTGTAGCCTGAAGTATGGCTGGGAAATGGACTTGAGAAGATTGGCTTGAATTAGATCATGATCATGTGTGATCCCATCATGAGTTCATTGGAATTTGTGTTGCATGTAAGGCAATCTTTCCTGTTGTAAATCTTCCTTTTTTTATGTACATATATTTTGAAAAATATGAATAAACATGAAATTTTAAAAGCTGCCGAACCGTAGCTTATATTTAAAGGTTTTGAGTATAGTATGTCTTCAGAAGTAGGTAAGTGCTAAGTGTCACCCTCACTTCAAGTCTTTTCTACTCCTTGAAATGAACACCATCATTTTCCTTTTTAAATACAAGCTCCAGTTCATGTGCTTTGGAATTCTTAGAGAGGGTAAATAATGTTTCCAGATACATTGAATGCTAATTACTTAATGAATCAAAAGTTTAAAAAATCGTTTTGTGTTTTATTAAGGACTGCTTTCAAGATCATAGAGTACAATCTTTCATGTTCAATAAATGTTCAATGTTCAGATAAGTCCTTGGACTAGAAAAAATTAACAGTACTGCAGAAGATAACAGATAAACCCTAGACATCAAATTCTAGAAAGTAATTGTAGTAATTTCTCTTGTGCTCTCTAGCAAGTAATGATTCTTAATAGTATGGATGTCAGGTACCTGTGCTCAGAATTCTATACTCTTCTGGAATCAAAAGTTGGGAGATTTTGGTTGGTTTCTTTGCTTTATGATACTGCTTTTTAAAAGACTGAGTAATCACCTGGTGGCTGTATTGCACACCAGGCACTTAAGCACAGGCTGAGAAGTTTAGAACATTTAAAGTTTCTTCCAACTCTAACATTCTGTTAACTATAAGGACAGTTTGTTTCAACATGATGTAAAGGGAAAAAACAGGAGGGTCATTGCACTCTTCCACGAACATCCACAGCTGTCAAAGACATACACCTTACTTACACTGAGATAAAAGAATGTTTGATTTTTCCCTTCCAGGCATTCCAAAGGAGCAGAACACGTTTATAGTTTTTATTTCTCTGTTCAGAAAGGGGAACAACAAACCCCAGAGGTAATCCCAGAAATCTCTAGCATGGATCAATAGCTTCAGTACTCTGTTGGTGGCTTAGTGACCTCATTTAGAGTGTTTCATACACTCTGAAACTACCTACAAGCTACCTTTGATAAATGAGTCTCAGAAAGTGCTGGGAGAGGAGATTGTTGGCTTTTTTTTTTTTTTTTGAGACGCGTCTTGCTTTGTCGCCCGGGCTGGAGTGCAGTGGCGCGATCTCGGCTCACTGCAAGCTCCGCCTCCTGGGTTCACACCATTCTTCTGCCTCAGCCTCCGAGTAGCTGGGACTACAGGCGCCTGCTACCACGCCCGGCTAATTTTTGTATTTTTAGTAGAGACGGGGTTTCACCGTGTTAACCAGGATGGTCTCCATCTCCTGACCTCGTGATCTGCCCGCCTCGGCCTCCCAAAGTGCTGGGATTACAGGCGTGAGCCACCACGCCCGGCCAATTGTTGGCTTCTTAACCTACAAAATGAGGAAGAAAAGACACCATTGCTGCGAAATGTGGAGACCTTTCCTTAGCACTGACACAAGCATTCATTGCAGATGGATTGTGATTAACCATCCACATGGACTTAATTAAAGGAAACCTGATCCTGTATGAATCTTAGGAAACAGGTATATGTTTTAATCATGTCTTTTGGGTATAATTAACAGGAAAATGACATGAAAACAAAACTAAACAATATGCTAATATCTTTTGACATTTGTTTTTTCTTCATTCCTGTTTTTCCAAATTTTGTTAGCCCTTGTCAAGGTTTGCTAACCAATTCTTAATACTTACTTTAAAGAGCCTATGAAATTATTCTCTCAGGCTGTGATCCTCTTGCCATCTTGATATGTCATGAGAACGAAGCTCACCACCCATGTTCATTAAATACTGCATTTAACTAAGAGAAACTAAAAATTTAGGATTATAGTTAAGGTCTCCTATCTTTGGAACCTGATTAATTTATCTTTCTTTGGATTAAGCAAAAATTCTAATTTTAGCTATGAAAGAAGAGAAATTCTATTCTTAATTGGAAAAGACCATTAAACTGTTTCCCCAGAGGTTCTGGTTGACATTACTCTCTAGCATGTAGATTTTGCTTTTGCATTTTCATGGTGGAACAGATGGTCACTCACTTCTGCAGAGCCAAAGCCAAGGAACCAGAACTGTTGAAGCTCTTGGCTTAGGAACCACTTGACAAAGATTTGTTTAGAAGCCATTACAGATGGCTAAACAGTACCCCTATTCAGCTACATTATTTTCTTTTTTAAAGAAAATGTCTATCATCTTTATAGCTGTATTCTTTTACTTATTTTTTTAAAATGGAGATTGCTGTGTCACTAAGGCTGCAGTGCAGTGGTATGATCTTGGCTCACTGCAGCTTTGAACTTCTGTGCTCAAGCAGTTCTCCCCATCTCAGCCTCCCAAGTAGCTGGGACTACAGGCAAGCTAAGAAATGCCTGGCTAATTTGTCTTTTCTAGAGACAGGGCCTCATTATTTTGCCCAGGCTGGTCTTGAACTCCTGGCTTCACACGGTCTTCCCACCTGGGCTTTCCAAAGTGCCAGAATTACACGTGTGAGTCACCATACCTGGCCCTATTCTTTCTTCTGTTCTTTTCCACAAGATTGCTAATTTCAGTGGCTTTTTTCCTGTTGGAAAAACTTTCTACCTTTGATGATTTAATTTTATCAACTTTTTGACTGTTTTAACTGTTCTTAATTCTGTCTTGTCAACCACTGGTATGGCAAAGGAGGCCTCAACAGGCTGAAGCAATTTTCCTCAAAAATTACAACTCTTTTTTTCTCCTGATACTGTATATAATGTATAATTAACACTGTTCACTATCAAATCTTTGCTTGGCAAAAGAGAACTCTGTGGTGCCTAGAGTATGTCTCATAAAGTATAGTCTGGCTTATTAATGTAACTAGTAATAGTCATAACACCTAACACTAGCTGAGCTTCTTCCACATCAGGCTCTGTTCAGATATTATTTTTATTTTATTTTTGAGATAGAGTCTCGCCCTTTCACCCAGGCTGGAGTGAAGTGGTGGGATCTTGGCTCACTGCAGCCCCTGCCTCCCTGGTTCAAGCAATCCTCCCGCCTCAGCCTCCTGAGTAGCTGGGACTACAGGCATGTGCCACCACACCCAGCTAATTTTTGTATTTTTAGTAGAGATGGCGTTTCACCAGGTTGGCCAGGCTGATTACGAATTCCTGACCTCAGTTGATCCTCCTGCCTTGGCCTCACAAAGTGTTGGAATTACAGGTATGAGCCACTGCGCCCAGCCAAGCACATGTTTAAGAGAGCAGAGGGCTTGGAAATGAAATTATTGTCAACTTTGCCAATAGTCAAGTCAGTGTGACTGTTAATTTTGATAACTGTCAAAATTAGACCTTGGATTACTGGAGGATACTATCTTGGCTACACTTTGGGGGTTTTTTGTTTGTTCATTTTTATGTCACAAGTTACTAAGCAATCCCTTAAGTCTTTTTTTAGGACACTCCAGGTATTTGGTCATTCTCATATCCTGGTTGTGGGACACTCTGGTTTCCTCGCGGTGTACTCATTGTAGGAAAATTCATCCTGTGAATTCGTCCAGTTTGCAGGACGCTAATACTCGTGAGAGCTTTTCCCCACCAGGAGCCACAGCTTCTATCAGAACTTTATGTTGCTAAATGAGCAGCTTGCTTTTATAAACTGTGAACTTATATTCCAGGAAGCAAGAGAAATTCCAGAATGGGGATTTTCTCAGAAAACTGAATTTTTTGGACATGGGATCTGCTTAGTAATCATGACCTGGAATGTTAGAAATCCTTGCTCTTTTATTTATGATTCTGAAAGAAACCTTAGTCATTCAGTCTCTCCTGTCTTTGTGTGCTTTGTCTAATACCAACAAATAAATACTCTTTTTCCTAATTCCCAGAGCTTCACATCCTGCTCATCCGTTCTACTGTTTTGAGAACTTTTGCTCTGATGAATGTATTCTGTCAGACCTAAATTCCTTGTTACCTGTTTGTGTAACTCAAACTTGCTGATATAGTCTATAGAATAATAAATGTTCTTCTGTTGCAAATTGTGATTGACTCCCGGTCAGAGTATACCGTTCAGTCCAGTGTCCTAACATCTATGGCTGTGGTCCTGCACAGTGGTCCTTGAAGACTGCGTCACTTACCAGATGTATGACCCTGGCCACCACTTAATCTCC